AAATTTTGCAATAATCTTGCGCCACCCTTGCACAAAACGACGATCATTTTTCTAATTTCATAGATAACAGAAGACTGTGTTTTTTCTGCATAACCCCCCCCTGACTTTAAAGTTGGATCCGCCCCTGAGGGCGACCCAGTTTTCCGGATTGTCCCCTTTTTCCTGATGGGATTGCTGCCGATAGGCCTGTAAAGAATTTCCCCTTATCTATGTCAACTTGGCGTCAAGACACTTTTGCCGTTGGGTCCGACAAGAACTATTCGCGCTCAAATCCTCAAATGTGAAGGTTTTCGGCACGATGCGGCAACGCCTAGTACCACCACTAGTCACCCAATATTGCAAATTGGGTACCACCAAATAGTGGTCGAAACGCTTTTTGCAAATAAATCGTAGCTTCCAGAGTCTCCATCCTCCCTGTTTGATCGTCAAAAAAAAATAAAAAATTGCTAATTCTCGAGTTTCCATTGGTAGCGAACCGAACACGTGGCCAGTTTAATTTCGCCTCGAAAGGACCGAACAGGGTTAAGGGCGCAATGAAGAAATACGATAATTTTAAGCCGCTCTTGAAAGGGATTTTTAATATTTGCGCGATTCTGGTTTATTTTCTCTTTTGGCCGTGGTGACGCGGACAAATTGCCCGAGCGGCAAAACCGCGTCGGTAATGGATTTTTACGGTGCTCGTCCAAGACTGTTTACTTTGCTGTAATTTATTTGAGAGAGAAAAAACAGATTTTTCGCCCTTGGCTTTGCATGTAAATCGGACATTTTGGCCCTTTGATTAAAGCTTTTGAAGGCTTTCCAAGCGTATGAGGGGTGGACGATGCGAATTGCTTGCTGACGTTTCGCTCGCATCTGCGATGAACGTTATCAGTCGACCGAAAACAACTTTGACAGATTTTACATTTAGATATTTGCCAGATTAATTAATGCCATTCAGTTCCAGCTTTATTCCCGTGAAGAACAAGTTTACAAATTTTTCTGGAAAAACTTGGAATAATACACGGCGAAGGCAATT